CATTAAGCAACTATAGTGGGATGAGGACGACTATACCAAACTTTATGACACTTACAGTTGAAATCCAAAACTCAGCTGAACTCGGAAAATGTGAGTTAACGAGTTTTGAGTTTTGGTGACTATTTGAGAAACAAGAGAGGAGTCGGTTCGAAAGCGTGGCTTCTTGAGTAGAAAGAAGAACCGCGTCGCACAATGAGGCTTTTTACCTTTATTCATGTGAAGCTGCTTAAAAAACATGTGCCAGCTTCAAACCAATCATGTAGATTCATATACCATAGACTCTTTGACAGTAGTTTTACAGTTTGAGAAATACTGCGCACTCAAAAACTTACGTTTCAAGCATTATTAGAAGTAAGCTTTAGTGTCCTCTTGCTCAAATTAATAAAGAAATCCGAACTGAGTGTGTTCACGCTTTTTTTGTATTCGGAACGATTTCTTCAAGCTTGTAATCTGATGGTTTGTGGTTTAAGTGAAAGTGAAACGTGAAATTCAAACTAAAATCTATACTAGAAAAAAACTGAAACTAAAACCTATACCTATCTGCTAGTGATATTTGTCAGTTTATTACAGGTCGAAAATTCGTGCTATTTGTTCAAAGCTGGAAATACTCCATACGACTGCATCTCCGGCAATATCTGCTACTCCATTCAACGCGATGAGGTGGATTCAATGTGCGAAAGATACGTGGATGTTTGAACGAAGAGAGAAATATTTATGTTACCCCCGGTCAAAGTACGCATGTGGCATGATTGTATGACAATCTGCATAGTGTTAACTTAACTAATTCGATGCGTTCCAATGTTGAAACCATACCATGTATTATAAAAGGTAGTAATGTTTGAAAAAAATGAACAACACCCTTGAATCATTTTCGACTCACGCTCAACAAGACATTTTGGGAAATCATTACATTTGGCATGAAGAAAGAATGTATAAGCCACTGCTTATGTATTGCCGGAAAAGTTTTGAACAAACTTTGCGATGAGGCTATAACAAAAATGTGTGAATGGTAAAAGAGCCATGAAAAAAATTGTTGAATCTCATACGCTGATTAGCTTTTAACTTGATTTTACACACATTTAATGCAAAATTCAACCGATTCAGATGCTAAATTATCAAGTTGAGGGTAAAATTGCTCAGTTATCTTCTTCAAATTTTCCAAGCTGAATTTCATTTCAAAAACGTCTGCTCACAATCCGCGATACGTCTGGTCAGAACTCGCACATTACTGCACCAGCTTCTTTCTTAAAGCTAAGTATCGGCAATAACTATGATCCGTTTTGCTAGAAACCCACATTTTTGCTTTAAGTTTCCAAAGCTTTAAGAACAGCATGACTGTATCTACCTTTTCCTCTGATATAAACTGCCATAGTGAGATTATTAAGTGAAAGGCATGCTCAGGTCATACGCTAGCCATTATTCTTATTTTACAATCAAACACAAAGCTGCAAGAACGAAGAGAATGATTGAATTAGAAACTGTCGAATTTCACTATTCTTGCTTTTTCATCTTTTCCTGCAAGTAAGTCCGTTGAACACAATGATACTGGAGAAATCCCTCTATCGTGAAAGAGCCATCGGTAAAACAGCGCAGTGTCTAATTCTCTTCGTTTGGCGAAAAGAATGACTGCATTAGACACTGCGCTTTTTGACAAGGTTCTTGGAAGACAAGGCTTGATGATTTAGGCTGCCTAAACCATAAGGACAATGATGACGATCTGTTTTACTTGTAATCCCACGGACTGCTCAAACGTTGCAGACCACGTGCGGCGCGGCTAAAATCTTGCAAGAGACAAGCGTTTTTCCTCGCGGCGCGTGCTCCTTAGTGATTTCCACTCCGCGCGGCCGACGAATCGTCGATGTATTGTTTGTATCAACTCCCTACTATATTGTTTTCATAAAGGAAGAGAAATAAAAGTATAGATAAGAAATTATGCTAATGCAAACTCTTGTACTCTCAAAGATTGAATTTTGAACTCGCGTTGTATAGGGGATTCAAAAATCGTGACGATGGCCGACCGCGCGCAACACGCAAGCGTTTTCTAACGACTTCTTAGTTTCATCGCTACTTGAATGGTTTTTCTGCTCACATATGATAGTACTTACACAGTTGAAGTGACTGGATTGAGCTTCGAGGTGATGCATTTTTGTATAGGTGTTTTATGCTCTTGTGGGCGCAAAGACCGCAGTCAAATCCGTCGTCACGATTTTAAAAATGACTAAATATCTACTCTATAGCACTTTTTAGCAACAGTAACAAGAAGATATTTCTGCTACGTTGAAGATTTTTACACATCATAGTGTTTTAAATAGTTATATCAACTTTTTCTCAAATAAAACCAAAACAATATTCAAAAGGCTTATCTCTATGCGCTTCGAAGTAGGGTACCTATCATACCAACTTTTCAAATAATACCTAGACGGCATTTGAAAGGTAATCACTAACTGCGCTTATATAGTTCCGACTGCAATCTTCAGAATTCTCAATTATCTTTGCACTAAGGACTAAGAATTTAGGCTTATGCAACCAAAAATCTAGCTCGTTTTTCAAACAAAAGCAAGATGGAATGTGACGTAACTAATTGTAAATAAATGATAACAATCATCCCTTATCACAATTGCAAAGTTGGCTATCTAGTTGAACGCTCGGATTGGTCACTGATAGCACGCAAAGCGAGGTACTTTTTGCTTCAACCAGATCTGCGACTGGAAGGCAAGGCTCGGTGACCTAATTAAGGCTGGTAAATCTTCGGAAAGCATATTCGCGAGGGAGGCGCAGACTGCATCGCGGGCGCAGGCAATCGCCTCCTAAGTCATAAAGCCCCGCCTTCCAGCAGCCAATCTGGTTGAAGCAAAGAGTAGAACGTTTTCTAGTCCAAGTTGTTGCTACACAAATCGTGCTCTCTCAACTTCATAGCCGAGCGTGGTTCTCCGCAATGCTGACCAGTCCGTGTTGACGACGATTGGAAGTATCATCGTCTCACAAACTGGCTTTAGGGAGACGGCAATGGTCAAGAGTTAGTTTATCAAACCTAGTAGTGACAACCGCACCGTTGATATCCTCGTCCGATTCCGCCTTCGCGTTTTGAGGGACCATGGTACTGTAACATACCTCTACGTAATTGCAAAACTAATTAGTAGAATGTGCACTGGCAAGCTGAGCATGCTGTCTTTTGTACTTCTTACAGTCGCTTTCGTGTTACCTATTACCTACCCGTTGTTTCATACTTCTATTATACTAAGTTAGCGGTTTATTGCGCGCCTTGTACCCTGTAAACCTCAAAAGTAGTGCAAACAAGTGACCGTTGAGATGAGGACTGCTGTAAGTGAACCCTTTAGGACGCAAGGGGCACGGAATTCATTGCCTCTCCTTAGCATATCTACAATAACAAAAAAGATGTGAGGGTATTTGTAGTACGGCAGTGGCTGGCACTGTACTCGAAAAGATAGTGGTCAATTTCTTCTAATATTGCTCATTGTTTAAAATTCTACTTGTGTTTGTGTTCTTTCTTCTATTTTTCTCAACAAAAAAGCAGAAAATAAACACACTTTCTGAAATCAAGATTTTCATTTCATCTTGACAAAAGGAGATAGGTTTAACAACTCAAAAATTTACTGTAAACTATTGCTAACAATCAGAAACGATGTAAAATAACAAAAGAACATGCATACTACTACCCAGAAAGATTTATTCCTTCATGATGAAGAAGATGAAGAGGATAAAACTTCATCTTCTTCTTCTTCTTCTTCATCTTCTTCATCCTCTTTCTGCACTCTTTTTGCGAAAGTTTCCGCTACAAGTAGTGGAAATACTATTGTAGCATCTGCGCAAACTTTCACTGCATGAGCTGCTGGTTTATCTAAAAGTTTTTTTAAGATTACAGTTTGAGCCACAAAAAGATGGTCACAACCTTTCCCCAACTAACTGCGTCATTTGCCGATATATTGTATGCCGGACCGTCATTCTGAAAATTCGCATATTCAGTTGTCTTAGGGCTAGCCCCAGACAGGGACGAATGTCCATTTAAGTTAAGAGCATAAATGTGGCGCACGAGCGGTCATCGGCCCCTACTTGTAGACGGTCTCCAGAGATTAGCCAAATTGGGATCCACGTGGAAGGTAATTTTGCGAATCCAACGAAGACACTGCACAAGCGGCAATTTTGGTGGGTCGCGGATCAGACATTCGTCTCCAAACCAGACTTCAGTGTCGTATTAACGGACGGCTTTCATCGTGCGTCATGATTTCATACAGCGACCCATCAATTTCGCATAGGTCCTCCCGCGAAAGCATGCGACCACGATACAACTCGTCCAGTAATGGGATGCTGAAGTCCAGTTTGGAGGCGAATATTTCAGCCTTGAGTGAATCATCGCCGCTCAGTCAGTGTCCCAGGCCTCGGGCATAGTTCACGCGATTTCAAACGCGACGCGATATGGCAGCTTGCCAGTTCAAATGTAGAGTGACAACAAATTTCTTCGTTTGATAAAATGCCCTATCTTCTGCACCTTTAGAATGTGGCTTACATTGAAACTGAAATCCTCTAAGCTATGTCCGAGACCTTAGGGCCCCAAAATTACTTTTCACATAAGATCTTCATATGTTCAGATTTGCCTAAACACTGTCTTTAACACATGCGCTCCACGATAGTAGGTGCTCGATCGCTGCATTTGTGCTCACTTTGCCACCATTCGAAATTGTCCGAAACCAGTCTTTATATACACCAATGTCCTCTTACCGTGTCGGTGCCGATGTAGACAGCAAAATCGGATCCACCTCTCATAAGATTCGCGCTATCAATATATTCTTTGACGACTCCACCACCCAAGACTAACACTCCAGTGCGGTGACTTGTAGAAGCCAGAGCGTTGATCATCCGCAAGTCCTCAAACAAAGCATAAACTTCACAAGTCTTCGCATTTTGGGGAAGAAAAGCTTCGGTGAAACTGAGCAGATTGTGAGCTAACAAAGGAACGATACTCAGTGTCCTGACTTTTTGAGTTGAGATGTATACCATTACACTCGTCTTGGAACGCTAATTCCGAATCTGACTTCCGCTTCTGCTAATCGTTTCCCTGAAAAAAGTTATGGAGGATAATCACACCAAGATTGGCTGCCCAAAGAAACACAATCGGAACACCCATACTGCCCTCACGGTGTAATGTAGCGATTAGTGCGATAGCGTCACAAATTGATGCAGGTATAATTTTTTATTTTTTCATTGCCTCAATCAAGCTTTGTAACCTCTGAATGACAATATTGGCTGAAAATAGGCACAATCAAGATGTATGCATGCCCTTACGCTTTGCAACGAAGAGTCATTTTTATATGATTGCGTCCTACATTTATGCCAAAAGATGCTTATAAAAAAGTAATTGGACAGTGAATGCACTTCAAATACAATGATTCAAATCTAAATGATTGAAACTAGAAGCTGTTCGCAATGAGCACAGCGAATTGTCTCGGATTGTTTATTTTGTTTAAGTAAATTCATAATACATTATGAATGGACACATTTGAGCGAAAATAGCAATCATTTTTCCCAATCTTTTTTCTTTTTTCAAGAGTAAGGGCGTACGAGGAAGCCTAATCTTTGCAAAAAGCTTAATTGAGGCATACCTAGGGCGTCAAAACCTACACTTATACTTCTAAGGCCAACTACAACACTACAACGTACAGGGTTTTGCAGTTCCAATCGTATCTCCCTTGTACGGCCAAACGCGGCGCGAAAATCCACCGAAACTTTATTTTAGAGAAACGATTATCAGAAAACGGAAGTCAGAATCTGAATCAGCATTTCAAGACGAGTGCAATGGTGTGCATCCATCTCAAACGACCACGGACACCGAGTATTGTTCGCTTGCAAGTATCTGTACCTACTGATTACTAGTAATCAAACTTCTTTTGCGATAGAATGAATAGAGAGGAGATCGTTTATGGAAAGAGACATCGGAGATAATCGTGAACAAAATGGGCAAAATTTGTGTTGGAGACCTCTAGAGAATGACGACTAAATTCCTAACATGACTGCAGACTTCAGTTATAGAGAATGAGGGAAGCTGATTGAGTGTAACCGAAAATCCAGTCGACTTGCCCACAAAATGCGGACTTAGATGCAATTTTTTCTCAATTTAAAGCGGCTTTCAAACTCAAGTTTTGGAGCTTCCAAGTATTGGTATGAACAGAATATCGATACTGATGGTTTGTTAAGAACGCGCAAAATCTTAGAAAGGATAAATGCTTCAAGCCTGTTGCTTTCTCTTTGCTCGTCTGCGCCTTTCCTCGTGCGCTTGGTCCTTGACGCCTGGTGCGCTTCAAATATCATTGTAGATAGCCTCGCCGCTTACTTTCTCAGCTATCACGAGGATCCACATAGAAATTGCAAAATAATGGTTGCGCAACAACCTGGGCATAATGCCGCTATAACTAGAAACAACAATAAGAAGCAAAAGCTCAGAAGACGCGTCAAAGTGGCGTGCGTTAATTGAAATGTCCTTTGACTGTTATCTGAAATGCATAATTTTCTTTCACCAATTTTTCACTGAAGTCATTTGTCAGAAAAGTTTTATTCCAAATAACCTCACTTTTCAATGGGGACGAAGGTTTAATCAACCAATCCTTCTACTCTTTCTGTAGCGGCAACGTACTTCCCCGTTGGGGAGGGAGGGTAGCTGAGAAGGTACGCGTGATATCTCGTCTTTTTGGTCTGTATTCTCCTTTCTCTGCCTGCCTTATGGAGATTCTAATATCCTGATACCAGTGGCGGTCCCAGGCTTTCCGTTCGAGGGAGGAGGGGGGGGGGGGCGCGGCAAAAAATTTTTTCAAATGAAGGTGCTTGGCGTCAGCCATGCATTCCGGAAAAATTTTAGAGGTGCCTCTAAAATTTTTGCGGGTCCCCAGAACCTAAAATCTGGAAGAAAGGGGCGTGGCTGACGCCACGCCCCGTTTTTCAAATAAATTTTTTATAAGGCTAATTTTGATTTTTTAAAAATTTTCAAAATTATTCTAATTGTTTACAAGAATAAGCAAGTCACTTGCACATCTTTATAACCCACGTAAGTGAATTTCAAAAATTTCGCGACCCATTCTCGGGGGAGGGGGGAGGGCAGAGAAATCCTTTTCGACGAAGTGCGTGACATTAGCCACTCCGAAAGATCTTCTGAGGTGCTTTTCAAAATTTTGGAGGGCCCACAACCCCAAATTTCAAAAAAGGGGAGTGTGGCGGTAACCACGCTCTGAAAAAAAAATTTTATAATGCTAAATCGAGATTTTGAAAATTCTTAAGCATTACAGGGTGTCCCAAAAGCACTGGTTTAACTCAACAATCGCTGGTGATTTTGATCTCAAATTTATATCACAGAATCCTCCAATCATTCTTCGTAAGCTGCATCCTTGGGGGTAAAATAGATCTTCATGTTTGACTGAAATAAAATTATCAAACCATTTCTACTTCAAAATGCAAAAAGCTATTTCCTAAAAGTTTGAAATTTATTTCGCTACTGCAAAAACTTGGCACATCGCGGTGCAGATTTATATCCACAATATAGAGGAGGCTTTGCACTACTATCACTATAATGGCTGCATTTAAAAATCTATTTCGTCAAGAGAGGCGAGAAAATACCTGGAAATTTTCAATGCGTGCCATTGCAACTATGTCTTTGAAATTAGTTTCAAATCTGTAGAATTGCAGAAATTACTGAATTTGGAGTAACATCCTCTTCGCATGTTTTCTAGATGGGAATCTAATGCAACACGGATGACGAACTTGGTTTTGACACATAGCCGATTTTCTGTTTTCAATTTCCGCAAATGTGTCCAAAACTCCACCATGAGATCTACACGTGCCTGTATTCAAATTTCCGTTATTTGAACGTAAAACTCACAATTTTTTTAATCATGCTATGATGTAGCTGAAAGCTTGCTCTGTCATACAGCACATTTTCTAAGCGATAGGATTTATTTTCATGAAGAATTGGGATAACATTGATGATGACTGCCTGCATGCCTCGGCAGTGGTAATCGCCAACAGTTTAAAGGCTTCCGTGATCAAGGAAAGATGCTACCAATTCGAATGCTGTGATGTATTTGCTACTTTTTGAATAATATGTACACCAAATTTTATATCCCTGTATTGTTCGGTTCTGTTTTTATCAGAAAAAATACTAGGCTACAAGACTTTTGGGACACCCTGTATAATTATTTATGAGTATAAATAGTTTTAATTAAATATTTATAATTATATAAAAATAGTTATAATCATGATTATAATTATTTCCGAGCATAAAAGCCGCTTGCATATTAACTCATATAAGTAACTTTCAAAAATTTCGCGACTTATTCTCAGGAGGGGGGGGGGGGGCTCGATACGCCACTGCGTTTAATGGATTCCAGGACATTGCCATATAAGCTGTTCGCTATTTTATGTGATCGGCTGGGTCCATCCTCAGAAAATAAGCCTTTGTTTTTGAAGTCGTTTTTCTTTCTTACTCGATGAACACGTCGTAAAGTTGGGAAGACGGTTGGATGGCTCGTTTTAATCGATTTCACTAACTATTAGGTTGTCTCATAAGTTTTTTCGATTTTGATTTTTACCGCAATAAGACACACACTTCTCAAATCTATCAGGTTGTCCAGAAATTAATGCCTGTGTTGAATTTCAACTGCCATAAGTCATACATTTCGAACTTCTAAATAGGTTGCCAAGTACTATTCGATAGAGCAAAGCAAGCTCTATAAGATAGCGTAAAAGTTGTCGCATCAGCTTCAGCACATCACGAACTAGATTCCGAAAACCGAAAAGTTTCACGAAAAATCGAAAAGCTTTTAGCGTCTCCTAAAAAACTTACCAGATTCCGAACTCGCTCTCGTATATACACTCCGCATAAGACAGTCATGTATGCCGTTGGTGTATTTGTTTCTGTGCTACAAACCGAGAAAACTAGAATTTTGAGTTTTGAAAAAGCGATGCTGTTCTTTCCCACTTAGATAAACGTATACCACAAGCCTCCAAAAAAACCATAGACTTTTAGCTCTCTACAAGCTCTAGTTTTAGAGAAATATCGAACTTAACTTTTGCTAGGGTATTTTGTGTTGCAATGGATATTCTCGAAACTAGAGCTTGTAGAGAGCTGAAAATCTGCGGTCATACTTCTAAAGGCTCGTACTCGTAGTATATACTTATGTGAGAAAAACAAAGATCGCTCTGTCAAAAGCTTGATCTTTTCTCGGTTTGTAACACAGAAGCAAATGCATCAGCGACATGTATGAATATCTTAAAGTGTATATCGTGAGCAGTTTGAGATTTGGTGAGTTCTTTCTAGACAAAGAAAAAATTTCGATTTTTCTTGCAGTGAAACTTCTCAGATTTCGGCTTTTAAATCGAGATGCGCGGAGTGCAAACGCTTACATGCCGTCTTATAGAGCTTGCTTTTCTCTATCGAACGGTACCTTGCATCCTAATTAAAATTGAGAAGTGTGTGTGTGTATGTGTATGTGTATGTGTATGTGTATGTGTATGTGTATGTGTATGTGTATGTGTATATGTGTATGTGTATGTGTATGTGTATGTGTATGTGTATGTGTATGTGTATATGTGTATGTGTATGTGTATATGTGTATGTGTATATGTGTATGTGTATGTGTATATGTGTATGTGTATGTGTATATGTGTATGTGTATGTGTATATGTGTATGTGTATGTGTATATGTGTATGTGTATGTGTATATGTGTATGTGTATGTGTATATGTGTATGTGTATATGTGTATGTGTATGTGTATATGTGTATATGTGTATGTGTATATGTGTATGTGTATGTGTATGTGTATATGTGTATGTGTATGTGTATGTGTATATGTGTATGTGTATATGTGTATGTGTATATGTG